ATCAACATCTCATAAAAACCAACAGGCTACATTATTGTCTCCTCTGCAATAAACATAAAAAGCATAAAAAATTCATAAGGCAGTAATGTCAACAGTAACACTTAAAAAGGCCACCAGTCCTCCTGAAGTCGAATTCACAAACAGCAACTGGGTTAATCATAAGGTGTCAAATAAGGCCTCAAGCATGCTCTGTATGGCATTGCACAATAAATCCTTTGTGACAACTGCTTCGCCAAATTCATCAAGTACACATGGACCCACACCAGCTGACCAACAAAGCCAAACTCAACATCATCCGACAGGGAGAGATTGGGGGATGAAGGAAAACTCCACAAAGCACCCAGCCGACAAAAAATCCTGTTACTTTTCAGGGCTTCAGGGCTAACAAGGTACAAAATCTTCTCCCAAATAGCTGTGAATATATTGATCTTGCTCTTGGGTTTTTAATGTGCAAATTGATTAGATATCTCTGAAATCTGGGAGGGGGAACGTGGAGCAAAAGCTGTGAAAAAATCTCAGGCCTGGTCCCACCCACCTGTCTCTGAACCCTGGGGGTGCCGGTGTGCAGCAGCGCCAGCAGGTCCTGAAGCAGTGCTGCCTGCTGCGCCACGTAGACCCGCCCCACGCTGGATCCACTCAGCGCCAGCACCATGGACAGCAGCTCGAAGCAGTAGGCGTCGGCGGCCGACAAGAAGGAGGTCTGGGGCCGGTCCTCCCGCTCACCAGGGCTGAGCAGGACAGCAGTGGCTGCTGCAGCTGCAGCTGCTGCTCCTGCTGCCGCCCCTATTGATGCTGACGCGGCGGTCTTGCTGCTGGCAAGACTGGCCTCCCACTCCTCCCGCATCTTGGCCGTCTCCTTGCGGATGGCTTGCACAATGTGGGAGCAGACCTGACAGTGAAGCCAAAGAAAAATTCAGAGTCACTCCAACCTCTCCTACACTGTAGCTCTGTAATCAAGACCTTTTCAGAAAACCTTCTGAGACCTCCAAGACAGCTGATACACTTCAAAGTTAGATTCAAGTCAAAGCAACTTACAAGTTCCAGAGTGCTTTTGATGTTATCTCCTTTTAAAAAGCAAGGTCCAAAGTATACATCACAACTAAGGTTATAACCGCCAGGCATTCAACAACAAACTGAAACAAAGCAAACAGTTCTTTTTTCACTTTTTCCACAAAGCAGCCAATGAAAGATGGACATTACTTTACCTGTTTCTGTAGATTGGTAAGCTTACTTCTGCTGAAGAGAATGCCTACCATATGTTCCCTGAGATCTGGATCACCAATATCCTGAAATTAAACATGGACTCATCTCGGTGATTGAAACAAAACTTCACCGAAAATCTTACAACTTCCTAAATACCAACTTTATCCCAATCACTGGCCCACTAGATACATGTCCTTGCTGTGACAATTCTCAAGCCCTTGGTGCCAGACCAACATTGTGGCATGATAAATATTTACAAAACACAAACCAACCAACAACAATTTGAACATTGACGCTCTTCTAAGCACACAACGTGTCTGTGAGCAATCTTTGAGCGCGCAGTTAAAAAAAATCTTTCTTTTTTAGAGTGATTCTAGGGGCCACTTTCTCACCGAGCTATTGTCGTCTTGTTTCTCGCCGTTCTCCTCCATCCTGTCATCTCCGGACTCCTCGTCGCTGAGCAGCTTGCCAAAGACCTGGGACGTCAGTAGCCTGAAGACTCGCAGCGTCTCTGCCTCGCAGTTCTTCTGCTGCAGGGCCTGAGCTGACTGCTGGGGGCCTAAAAGAAAAACACAGGGGAAAGGAAAAGATGTCTGAATGTTAGAACAAATCTTCACACATAAGCTGCTAACATGATTTGACACATCAATGTTAGCAAGTATTGTCTACAACAGAACCCAATTTCATTGGTGACAAAAAAAATGAGCCAGATCGGTATCAAAAATGAAGGGTCGAAATGAAGTGCATCCAGGGTCATTCGGACGTGAATGAGACCTGCCTTATCAGCACTTTCCCACGCAGACTCACTTGTGTGCTTTGTTCCTAAATGACCTTGTTTTTTGAAATACCGAACTGGCTCATTGTATCTAGAGAAAATAATACTTTGCCAATGAACCTGACAAACCTCTGTAATAATCAACACGCCAAGTTTCAACTGCATTCTAAAATTTGTCCATACCTCCTTTTCCACAATCCACGGCAAAAAATAAGCATAACACTAGATAAAGACCTCTTCACAGCAACTAGGTAAAGCCTACTCAACTTTTTGTTCCTTCAGTGTGTTAATTCTGAACCCAATAACTCATTGAGACTCAAAAAAAAATTTAAAAACATTAAATTTAAAATTGTTACTTTTGCAATCACAAAAAAGAACAAGTCATACCATTTCAACCAATCAAATTTAGGATATCACATCTTCAGTTCCTATTCTCATCACTGTAATTCATAAAATGCACAGATCTAGACTTTCAGAGAGTTGATTTTTCTGGTGCAATCAACTCTAGGAAACAAGTTCAACCAGTGCTACATTTTCCCATTCCATTGCTTTCCACAACAGGGGTAAACACTCTCATCCCCTGAGACAAAAATGAGGGACCTACCCGTGCTGAGGTTCTCGCCTTCGTTCTGGCCTAGCACCTTGACCTGCCGGACCCGCAGGTGACTGTCGGGCCCTTTCAGCTCCACCTTGACCACCTTCGGCCGCTCGGGGCAGCGGTCCAGGTCACAGGTCACCCAGCCCACATGCCGGGCCTCCATGTTGGAGTTGAGGGTGCGCTGGAGGGCGTCCGGATGGGTGCCAGTGAAGAAGGTCATGGCGGTGACCTTGTTCTGTTGTGACGGGCAAAGGAAAAAAGACAAACGAGCAATGGTGGTGTTTGCTTCGACAGCGATGATTAGGACAAATGTTCTGAGCAAACCAGTGTAGATTTGGCAGATTTCTGGGATTTCCACATTTCCAGTCAGACAGTTTGCTATCCAGTAATTGACTTAAATAGGGCGACGTGGGAGACAGATATGGACAGCCACTTTGGTGGTTTTCATAAGTTCCTAAGCAAGGAACTTTCAATGAACAAACAACAAGCCCAAAACAAATTCCTTTCCTTGGTAAAACCTTTGTTTTTCTAACATTCCACAGCCATTCATCATACCCCTAAATCCCTGGAGTTGTCCACATGCACGGCCACCATCCTGGGCACCAGACTGTCATTGCAGGTGATGGTGATGGACTTGGTCCGGTTCCTATCCTCGTCCCCGGACTCCCAGAAGGTTTCAGTGGAGCCGTCAGTCAGGCTGGGCAGCATGGCGGCTCGGCTGGACACCTGTAGCTCGGTGGCATTGGTCACGTCTCGCAGCAGCTCCACTTTGGCGGTGTTCTGTATTAGTGAACGGGAATAAATGACCAAACATGAGGACCAAGAGGACCAGAGGACTCATGATAAGTTCCCCCTCCAAAAGCAAATCCTTTTTCAGCTCACAGATCAACATCAGCGACGATGCAACGATGGGCGACAAAGTTTTCTTAACGGACATCTGAATGAATCAGTTTATTTAGTAGTTGCGGTAGGTTTTCATCTTGGTACAAGAAGTTTTGTAAGGCAGTGAAAATACTACAATAACACTCCAGTGCAAACTTCTATTCTTAGCAAAGTTGCCCTCTCAGTCAAACCAATCAAGTAACTGTTTTTAACAGCTGAGTCCCCTGCCTTCATGAAGCAAAATTGACTGACTGTGGCTGTTGATATGACTAGATGTAGCCTGCCTGCTTTGACTGTCAATGATTGATAAGCAAGCTTTGTCTACCGGTCACCTGTTTTTGTCTCTTTATGGAATCTGGCTGGTCACAGTACCAAAAAGAATTATGATTGGGCTGTTGACCAAGCAAGGGAAAGTGAACGGCAAATTTTGCAGTCTGTGACTGGTACGAACGAAGGAGAGTAACTTAAAAAAATTAACACTGGGACATACCAGGCTGGCGGGCAGCGAGTCGCTGCTAGAGGACACACTCTCCTCCCCTTCCCCTTCCTGGCCATCCGAGCGCGACAGGATCTGGTTGATGTTGCTGAAGACATGGGAGTGGTGCAGGAAGACGTGGTCAGCCGGCCTGAAGCGCAGGCACCAGCAGCGCATGGCGGCCTGCTGCAGGGCACTGCCCTGGGGCAAGAGCAGCATCATGTCGGCCACCGTCTGCAGGAGGGTGTGAAAGGCAGTGGGCAGAGGGTGCACCGCTTCACCGGCCACGGTGATGTCTGACAGAGGGTGCTCGCACATCAGGCCGTCAACGTCTTGCTGCTAGGGGAAACAAACTCCACTTCCAGAATACCACAGACATAAGTAGCTTCCAAACCTTAAAAGTCTGAAGCTATGTCTATGTGTTTACTTGATGCGCATGCCGAAAACAGACTTTGCCAGTTTTGAAAGCCTGTTTCCGACACCACATATCTATATTCTAATGACTGAAGCTGTAAGATTTCAATGTAAAAAGTATCAAACATGTGTCTATTCACCAAACAAATACTGGTTTTCGACATTTTGGAAACCTAAATCTTAACCAACTCTCCTATGCAATTTTTGCTGTAATGATTTCCTGTATCCTTGGAAATGATTGGCAAAAAACCAATGTGCCGCACTTGACAGAAAATAAGTGCTACCCTGAAGCAAATTTCATGTGTCACATGAACAACCGCTACAAAACGTCAACACTGCATTTCTTTCAGCAAATCTTGCCGTGGGAGTAAACACTGCTTTCCATCCACACCACAGTACTACGCAGTGACTTAAAACCCATGCTACTTAAGTAGCATTATATCAACGTATCAACGACGAATACTTAAGAACTACCTGATCTGACTGCTTCTTCTCTTTCTTTTCCTTCCCCTTGCCTTTGTCAGCCCCCGAGGCTGCTACCTCCGTCTCGTCTTCCTTCTCGGGGCTGAGCGGAGTCAGTGCGCACACATAGTGCCACAGGAGGTCATGCAAGCTGGTCAGCTGCGTTACACTGCGCAGGAGCCAATTCAACGCCTAAAAAAGCAAAGTTCAAAGGGGATTGCAATTTTTTTGCTACTTGAAAACAATCAACAGCCAAGGTGTACCAACTGGTGACTGGCTTGCAATGAAAAAGAACAGTCGGTGTTGTTGAGTAGACCGATATAATTCTTGTGCCAGCATTTTTCAGAATAAAAAAAATTGACTTTAGTGAACAGTGGTTACTTTTGTGAAACAACATTTTTAAACCAAGGGGGTCAATTGTTTTGGAGGGTGTATTAAAGCAAGGATTAAACACACTATTGCTATTTTACACGATCACACTGCAACAGTCCTTTTTCTCAATCAGGTCATTTGCTGACCCTTCAGAGAGTGGTGAAGGGCAGAGCAAAGGTAACTCAAGATAAACATAAAGACAAAAACACAGAGAGCCAACAAAAAGAACCGACAAAGATAACACAATGAGACAAAACATCAGAGGAAAGCATCTTTTTAGACGTCCTACCTGTAACGCGTAAACCCTGCATGATGCCTTGCGCAGCGCTTGCTTCATGGCTAGCTGCAGGCCCTCCAGGTCATGGCGCTGGACGATGAAGGACATGACGGGACGATGCAGTGCACGACATCCTTTGCTACCGCCCTCTATTAGCTTGGCTAGTAGGGAGGAGGGCCGACGAAGCAACGAGGAGCCGTCTTCTACCAGAAAGAATTATTCATGACAACCGAGGGATCAACCAATAACCGCCATTATGATATCAAACAAGTGAGACGAGCTGACATTTAAACTGTTCCTTATTTTTCACATGATTCGCTTGAAAAGAAGCGCATCTAAGCACAAGACGAAAAAATATGAAATACACTATTTGTTTGCTACGATGATGACCCACAGACTACTGCGGAAATATTGTTGTCCCTAGAGTAACCTTCCTTTACCTGATGAACTACTGCTGTTATTACGCCTTCTGGTCTTGGACTTGGGCTCCCCCTGGGCCCCAAGCTGACTGGTCATGGAGATGGAGCGGAAGTAGGCCACTCGCTTGGAGTTGTCCATGCCTTCATCTGTGATCACATCAACCAGATTGAGGAGAGGAAGTGAGATTTGGGGCGCTGCTTCATGGAAATCTGTGAGGGTGTTTTTTGTTTTGTTTGTTTTGAGATGGATAATAATTTGCCATTGTCAAAGTGGAATTTTGAGAAGAGTGTGAAATGATTGGAAACTGAGCAGGAGGAATAAAAGGCATGACTCTATAATGAATTATGAAGTTGTTTACAACTTACCCAATCTTTTGCTATCCACAGAGGCCGACTTGACAAGGGGTAGTGAAACATCACTTTCGGCCCTCGGGATCATGTGGACCGAACGCTCCTCAATCGGCAGGGGCAGGCACTCTGCGACAGACCCCTGCCTCACCAGCTTGACAAACTGGAAGGGCACTGGTGGGAATTGGGCACTGAGGGCCTCCGTCTCACTTAAGATGGGCAGGTCGAAGCGGGTGGACTTCCTCATGGGGCTTGTCCCGGGGAAGGTTGGGCCGGCCGCACTGGCCAGGTCAAGGAGGAACATGGCATTGGCCTTCATGACATGGTGGGCCTCCAGTGGGGGCAGCATCTTTGGGGTCTTCAACGGCGGGAGCTTCTTCCGCTGCTTCTTGACCTTCTCCTTGAGCTTGTCCTGCCGCTCCCGGATGTAGTTCTCTCGGCATCGCTCACACATGAGGTACCAGCTGTTTCCCCCATAGCCGCCATCGCCACAGTTTCCAGCCCATCCACCACAGTAGTGCCCACTGCTGTTGTAGCCCTGCCCACCAGCATGCCGCCGGCACCCAGGGTGGGCCTTCCGCATGTGGTACGTCACCGGGTCAGGGAAGACACCATGGCAGAGATCGCAGACAGTTTCTCGGTCACCACCACCAACAGGGATGCCAGCTGCTTCCCCAAAGAGGTTCCCACCTCCACCGCGAAGCGACTTGTCCCGTCGCTTCTTGCTCTTGACTTCCTTCTCCTTCTCACGGATTTTGTGCTCTGTTCGGCTCCGGGATTTGGTTATCGGGGCAGGGCTAGGGAGGATGAGCTGTTGGGAGGCGATGTTGATTGTGGCCTGGGTCAACTCCTCCCAGAAGGATAGCAGGTGCTTCAGGGTGACGGGCAATGCAGATGGCAGCTGCGATTCCTTGGAAGGTCTTAGGGTCTCCGAGTCCCGTATGGCATTCTTCTGGTTGGCCGAGTCCGAGCCTGTGCTTGAGGCTCTCTCTCTCAACTCGGTGTCGCTCGATGAACCACTGCTGTCCCCCCTGAGTAGTACTGTGCCCTGCTGCTTCCTGACCTTTGGGCCAGGGGAGGCCGAGCCTTTGAGGTGATGCTTCGGTGAGGACGAGGGGGAAGCCCTGGCCAACTTCTCAGCAAGGTGCTGCATCGCTGGAGTGGACACGATGCTCTCTTCCGTCGGGGCGTTCACAGCATCCTGCACAGGTTCTTTCTTTTCACTCAAATGCAACAAGGAACTCGAAAAGTTGGTTAGCTCGGCTTCATTTTGGTTCAAGATATCCCGACCAGAACTCTTGGCCTCAGAGAAGAATGTTCCATCGTTAAGACTTTTGGAAAAGTCCATGGAGTGCCTGTTCTTGAGTTTATTCTCTTGCTGGATGTCCATCTGTTGCTGGCAAGTCTGTTTGCCAAGATGCGGGTTGAACTTAAGGAATGAGGCACAGGCCATGGCATCATGGACTAGTCCTTCATGCCACAGGAAGGCGGCAAACACACACCTGGCACACTCCGCAACAGAAGTCGCAACGGCCGACTGTGCATTCTCCTTGATCTCCGTCTTGATGATGCTGGATTTGAGTCGCGCTGGCGACCTGTCCTTTGCTGATGGGGATGCCGTGCGATCCCGCCTTCCAAATGCAGTCCGTGATTTCCGTCCCTGTTTAGGCGACATGCCACTCTTTGGTGAAGCCTGCCCGTCGCCCACACCTATGGAGAAGTGTCCTTTCGAAGTCCGCTGTGGGCTGCCTCCCAATACCCTGACCTCGGAACCAGAAGGTGGATCCTTCAGGTGCTGCATTCCTGAGTCAACTTTGAAAGGTGACGGGACATCCCCTCCAAGAGAAGCCTTTCGCTCGGGCAAGCCATTGGAATTTATGGTGTCCCTATGATTTGAGCTTCGAAACAGAGACAACTCTTCAGCCCTTGTTTCTAAATCAATGCCAGTCCGTGTGAAGCTTGCCTGGTGCCCCGCAACAGCAGAGGCAGCTGCCCCTCCAGCTGATGGTCCAAGTACATCAGCGTGGTGTGGGGGGCTGGGACCAGCCTCCCCACTGGCTTCAAACTCTTCAAGGGGGTCAATTCCGTTGCCGGCAAAGCCATTGGCCATGCCCAAAGCTCCATTACCGGAAGTGCCGGCTGATTTGTGCTTGGAGGTCTCGGTGATGGACTGGCTCATCTTGGAGCCTTTATCAGCTGCCCCTCCCTGCTCCTCCTCTCCATTCTGGTCGGATGCAGGTCGGGGCTTGGAAGCCCCAAACATGAATGGAGTTAGATCTAGACATGAAGAAAGAGAAAACCTCATACACATTTCCACATAGCAAGACTTGACTCAAGTTTCCCATCTTAGTTACCTTGACCTCTGTTCTAAAATATGTATTGTAAAATCACCCTATGAATGAAAACTGCATCATTCAAAAGAAACACAAATCACAAGGAGATTATCAATTGTAGAAAAAATGAAATGAAGAATATAAAAATTACTGTTTGTCCATCAGATGACAGATATAAACGAACTTCAAACTGAGGTTTAAAAGCAATCTACAAGCCTTTCCCTACTAACTACGAAAAAACTTCATGAATGCTACGAACAAAATTTATCCAAAGAATTTCTTTGCTTAAATGAGTGACCCACACAAAATTTCTTTTGTCAATTTAGATGACAATTCATAAGTCAAGTTTAGTTTAATCTCTGCCACACTTTACTGCCAATATGCAAAAAGAAAGGGTCCACGTGGAAAGAAATGTTTTCCATGCAAATGTGGGCTTTGAATTTGACCCCAAACCCTGGTAATGCCAACTACCCAACTAACCTCAGGTTTGAATAAAGCTATATTCCATCTTATCATTTGAACAACGAAAACCACTTGAAACACCCACGGTGCATACAAGGATGTACTTACTTGTGGGGGCAAAACCCATCGCCGGTGTGGCCTGGGCATTCCTGAAGTCGAAGCCTGCTGATGCCTTGCTGCTGTGCTTGCCGTTGTCCCCAAAGAACAGGAACGGCCGAGTGGACTTGCGGGCCTGCTCCCTCTCAGCCGAGGTCAGGTCAGCCTCGTGGATGAGGTACATCAGCCCTTTCCCCTGGGCCAGCGACCACGCCTCCCCCTCCGTGTTCTCGCAGTAGTGGGCCATGCTCTCCTTGTCCAATTTGACCCAGACAGAGCCATCGGGTTGTGCCATCTCATGGAAAAAAGAACAGATTATTTTCAGGTTTCACTGCTAATAAAGGGTCTGATTCTCCTGTGCTCCAAATTTGACCGTGAGCACAGGTAGTGATTCCTGAAGATCAGTTAAAAATCAAATGTGTTCAGCTTTCTGCATGCAGTTTTGGTACCAATTTGTTCATGACATAAACAGAAGAAAAATTAGGATCACATATAACCTTAACATAAGTTTAACCCTAACACTCCTCAGTCATCCAACAGGTGAAGGATTGAGGAGGGTAAGGGTTAAAGAGATTTTCTGCTGGCTTTAAATATCCTGCGCAAAGATACAAGGGAAAAACAAGTGCCATGGATCGCAAATGCCATGAGTGAGAGACACCCTAGGCACTTTAAGTGCCAGATAGTTAGAGCACAGGTACCAAGGGGGGAAGTAACATTTCATGTAAAAAGAAACCTATAGGTACTTCAGACACAAACCATGGTGTTTATGCAGGGACCATGAATATCGACAAGTACCATGATCAAGTATGTACTCTGTGTATCACTGGCCTGATTACTAAGTACAGTACCAAGAGAATCGGCCACTAAGGGAACACAGAAACCATGGCTTTTATGTGTTCTGTCTACAATGGTACCACGACTGTTACTCATAGGGACAGTGGGAGCTTAATCGAGGAATATCAGTATTTATTGGTACCAAGATCATTGCACATACCTCCAATGTGACGCCTACCTGGATACTAAGCACTCTATTTTAAGAACTCATCAATATTAAGGAAAAGTGGAAAGCACGAATACCATATGAACCATGTATACAAAGGGAACCATGAGGTACTATCCACAAGAACCTTGGGTACTTATGGGTGGGGGGACCACACGTATCTAGGGATACCATGATCATGATCACATACCTCCTGCGTAACGCTGACCTGGTTACCCAGCACCATCATGCCAATGGGTGTGGCCTTGATGCTAGCCCGGCACCTGATGTTGTGGCCCGAGGCCCCGCAGTTAGTCACCTGGTACATACCCGGCCCGCCCGTGGCCGGCCTGGCCGGCACCCTGGAGGGTACTTTGGCCTTAGAGGATCCTCCCACTGCCGCTGTGGCTGCTGCCATCGCTCCTGAAGGCATTGCTGCAGCTCCTGTTGTGACTGGGACCAGAGACGACGTCAGCGTGCCTTTGTTTTCCTTCGATTTGTCATCGTATATTGACTTGGGTTCCTTCAAAGAAATAAAACAATCAGATTACTAGCAAAGCTCAAAATCTCAGGGTAGTTCTCTGTATCTACTGGATAAAAGATCTTGTAACTGCTGAAGAATTGAACTTTGGTTTAACTTTACAACAGGGACAGCTCACTCCATTGCCATTACAATAGAATTGTAGCAAACATGACAAAAACATTGAATGTAGCATTTGCTTGTGAAGTGAAATAGTGAAGTGAAGAGTGGTGTTGTAAAGCGTACAAAAAATGGAAGAAAGGGGGAGAAAGTCAACTCTTCATACCAAACGTTCCTATAGTTCTACCATAACATTTTGTTACGATCAAGTATAACACTGCCAAGAAATATGATTGTAGCATCCATATATGTGTCAATATATGTACTTTGATATATGTCGCAGTTGTTGGAAAATTCTAAACCATGGCGGAAGTCAAGTGCATTAATGGTACTACAGAACTGTGAACCTGATTGGGGTACAATATGGGTGAACAGCTGCCAGTAAATGAAACCTAATTCCAAATTAAAAGAAAACGGGAAAAAAACCCACAAACACTGTATTCAAATTGCTCAAAATGCTTAGCAATCTTTGGAAATAAATGCAAAATCTATCTCAGCAAGAATTTTACCACAACAAAATCCTTTAAAAACTTTTCCTCCTCTTTGCCTGATTTGTTCTGCTTGTTACAGGAACCTGGTTGCATAATTTGGAACCTGACATCAACAGTCCAAAATTTGAATTCCTGGTTTCCGATGCACAGCCCTGTCTAGGACAAGACAGTATTTTTCTCACCTCGACTGGGACAAGCATGGTCTTGCCGATGTGCTGGTTGTACTGCAGACACCAGCCTTCCCGGTGGCCGTTGCTCCTGCAGTATTTCTCGATGGTCTCTGGGTTGAGGCGAACCCACACTCCATCCTCATTGTGAACCTGAGCAGGCGAGAAATGAGGGGACAGTTGAAGATTCAAAAAGAAGGTTGGGCAGGGGGGCATTTGCAAGACACTTCTTGTGGGTTTATTCAAGGATTTGGCCCCAGTTTATGGGTAGCCAATGCTATCACGCTCCTCTTCCTGCTTCAAAAAGGCAAAAGCCAAAAGCTCAAATGATACAAGTTGGATAATGCCAGTATTCACGCACAAAATTCACCTATGAGGTGCATTTAAAACAGAACCTTGTCAGACAAAAATTTATGCACCCACCGTGAACAAGATTGCAAATGGCAATTAAATTACAAGGTCAGAATTGAACAAGGGATATGTGCTTTGCTACTACTTTCTGCACTGAAAGAGTCATTCTCAGCAACAAAGTCTGATTGTCAACGGAAGACTAATACGGTCACTCACCTAAATCATACTGGATTCCATTTAGACAAATCTTAAATTTTCCTTCTTAAGGAACACATATGACCTCTTATACTGACCTCGTCAATGAAGGTAATGACCCCATTGACCTCTACAATGCCAATCTCTTCACTGTGCAGCGATGGACTGCTCCTGATTCGAAGGCCTCGACTGTGCTTCATCACGTACTTGCGCACCTGGTGCAGCAAATACAAACATAACGAGTGAGTCCTCCTAAGTGAGTGACTCGAGTGTCAAAAATTAGTACCTGAACCCGGCAAAGAAGAGGGGCATTTCATAACACAAGGTGTCACACAGATGCCAGTTTGCGTAGTGCATTATGTGAAACAGTCGACAAATTTTACTGGCCACCTGCGCCCAAGAAACTTGAATTGTTCCCAGTGTTTGTTTGGATGGAAGATTCCTGAGTATATTTTAAGCATTAATGTAAACTCACCAAGACTGTGTCTTTTGTGAGGCAGCAGACGGCTACTCCCACACTTGGAAACCGACAAAACTTTACAAATATCCAAAGATAAATGCCATATTTATGTTGACTGTAAACTTGTAAAATGTCCTCTGTTAAGCACTATACTAAGACACAATGACCAGATTTAAACTGCGTCCGAATCTGTCGTCTGAACCTAGGTCTAGTTCTGCTTCCACGGCAAACATGCATGACCATGCTGACACAGACCCAGCCATCACCTCTGCAAGCCTCACCTTGCTGGTAGGTTGCACAGTCTTCTTGGGTGTTGGATTTGGTGGCAGCACCCCCTGTGGAGGCTCACTGACCTCAATCTGTGGGACTTCGTCTGATGACAAAGAAATGTGAGAGAAACACTTATGAGGATGTGCTTGTCCAACTTATACAAAGGCTCACAGCTGGTGATGTTAACTGTGTGCGCTGCATTGAGCCTGAAGAGAAAGCTGGTGTGAGAGAGATGCATTCCAGTGTAGGCACCCCAAGTTCATTTCAACTTTCAAACTCTTGGATTTTTTTTCCTTCAAGAGGTTGATTAAATCTCCCAGTTTGTTTCCACTGCAAATACAAGGTTATTTTAGAAGCCTGTTGTATTGATTCCAAGATGGGTTTATTTGGAACCCATGTCGCCCAAGTACGGCCCTCAAATCAAGAAGAGGAAAAGGCACAGCTGGAGATGAAGCTGGGGCTTTCGAAAAGGCTATTCACTGCTGCAGGGGCATAACAACAACGTGGGGCTTTCCTCCACCCCAAGGCAGAAATCACTAGCTACGGATGGGTCTCCATACCTAGCTGGTACCCATCGATGGTGACATGTATGGCATACATGCCCATAGAGCCTGGTGTCCAGTTCCCACTGTAGCTACCGTCGTTGTTGTCTCGCACCAGCATGCTCTCATGAGGTCTGAGGTAGGAAAAGGAGAGAGAAAGTTTTCAATTTGGCCTCTCCTAAATGAAAACTATACAAACTGCTCAGACTGGCCAGTTAAAAACAAGCATCAAGTCTTCAAATGGATTGTTTACCTCGTAACAGGAAGAGATGCGTATCGCAACTCTTCAAACGAGTAGAGCTCATACTCCTTCATCATGGTGATGGAGTTGTAAGCCATGCTGTCCTTGCGTATTGTAGCCTCATATGACACGTCCAGCTTGGGTGGAGGGTGGCCGCCAAAGGTCAAGTCCTTCTCGCCCGGAGGTGTGGACTTGAAGAGTTTGGCACCGTGGTAGGTTCTCTCCCGTTTTCCCAGAGGTACGGCCTCAACATCGATCTGAAAGTGAAGGAATAACTTCAAACTGAGTGCGATGCTTGGTATGGTAGTCAACCACACATGCCTGATCCAACAAAATGAGCCCTTACATTATGCACCGCAGCTTCCATTCTTTAACGCAGAAAAAAATTTCATATTCCCCAGTTTGATAAAACACTTCTACGGAAAGGAAATTTATGGCTGAAATGTTCATAGACATCATTTCAGAGAAAGAAGTAATGCTCACTAGTTTATGGAAAGTCACTTATGAAGAGTCAATTCCATGCCAATACATTTATAAATTTTGAATAAGAAGCATTTCTTTAAGTTTGCCTGGCTTTCCAACTAGTTCCAAATGACAAAACCCCATTTTACCGTCTATGACCCAGCATATCAATTCCTTCACACAACAAAATTCAAATGTATTCCTCACACAAAATCTCTTATGACCTCCTTGGGGCTCATTTACTACAGACTAGCAGATTTCCCTTTTGAAACATTTCTAGAGCTCAGTTACCAATTATCACTCTTGCAAGTCTGGCTTCTGCCTCCAAACAGCCATTTACATCCCTGTATCAGCAGGTATCCTTACCTTGAGATTGGGCACGTAGACCAGGCTACCGTACTGGTCCCGGCTCATGATGGTGACGATGGTAGGCATACTGCAGCGGATGTCGTCACGCTGGAACACGATATCACACTGTCGGGGGTCTACGTAAGACTCTGGCTGCATCCATCTGAAATATAAGAACCAAAACAATTGTATTTGTGACTAATTATCCCATGACCAGGCTGATACAGTTTGAACTGGAGACACACTGGGACTATACATGCTGTTTCAATCTTTTACACTAAAACACCGTTAAAAAGGTCAAATCACCATAAGCTCTGTAGGTGTAACATTAGGCCACTTAGACAGATATGTCAACACCCTTCAGGCAAAGGGCTCTGGAAGATGCCACATCTCATCAGCAGAGACTCCAAGTGAAGTTAATAGGAGGATTCCGCTCACATAGCAAAGGATAATTTTGGTACCCCTTGTACTGTTGCAGACTTCCACTATCGACGTGTTCCTACAGCAAAGTATGGGGGCAGTCTTAAGAAGTGACTGTTGAAATAATTTGGAGAATAGACTGAAGTAAGCATCAAAGACAGCGCTGGAAATAAACCGACCCTTCTAGTCAATTTGGGTGGTTGCCTTTCAATTCTGAGTGAAAGAAGTTTTTACCTGGCTAGTCGCCCACCGCTCGTTCCATGCGTGCACTGCACAAAGTCCTTCAGAAACGCCCTCTCGTTGGATTGCGTGCTGAGAGGCAGGCTGCCCTCTAGTGCCTGATGGATGCTAGGTGGGTTGGACAGTGCAAAGCCTTTGCCAAGCAGCCCTGAATGAGCACCAAATACCTACAAAAAACAATTTGAATGAGAACAGTCCGAAATCGATGCCAAGTTGTAAGTATCGGTCTAATATATGTCAACGAAGGGAGCTCACACTGTTCCCAAAAGGAAAGTTCCAGAGGGAACAGGAATGTTTTAACTTCTGAAAAAATTCCCCAAGTCCACCGACAGCATGTCAGCCAATCAAGGCACCACAGAGTTGACCCAACCCCTACATCCACAGCCCCCTTGAGTACTGACCTGCTGAGCTACCTCCGCGATGGGCTCAATCTCTTCCTCCCCGTCCTCCCCTAGCACAGGAGGCAGGACGATATCCTTCCTGAGCAGAGATCCAGCGCACATGCCGCCCAGGTAGGCTAATTCCTTCTCCAGCTGCACCAGACCCTGGTTGTTTAAAAACAACAAACCATCGGTCACACCAACTGACCCATCCTGGAAAGTTGCCACACCGTGAACGTATGCGCCATGTGCACAAAGTCTATGGATAGACTGTTACTTCATAGTGCGCCGAAACTAATGCACCAGCCACTCTGTGGTGCAACCAACATATGCTTGCCACTCAATTTCTGAATCAGGATTTTCCTTTTCCATCAACCCCAGTAAATATTCTGCTCATAACAAATTGAAGGCTTCGTCTTGGCCACTCTATTCATACATCTGCATCAGTTGGCACAGGATTCTGTTTCACTCTTCAGACTAATCAGTGCCGTACCAATGATTGGGAAAAAAATGTACCAAAGGAATATCCTGAAAACGCAAGGCACAGACATCCAGCCATTTGAGAACACCAGTTCAAACCAAATTGAGAATCACAAGAAAAGATGCCTCAAAACACATACTCTTTCAATTTTTTAGTACGATTTTCTTCAGTTCATTCCACATGTGAGTTGAACTTGCTGAGTTCAAAGTTCCCTGTGCTTGAATTCTTGTCACATGCTATGAAGAAACCATTGCACATCAGTCTTACCTCTTCAGTAGCTGACCACTCATAGCCCACGATGGCACACTTGAAGCCGTAGGTACTGGCCTTCTCATCCTTCATGTAATCTGATGCAGTCTCTAAGGAGAATGTAACCTCATTACCTACAGAGACAGGAAGGCATCCATTACGAGTCAACATAGCGCAATTCCAACTTTCCTCTAGCTACTATTGTTAACCACTTGCCGCCAGGGTTGCTGGTACCGGAACCGTATTCTTTCTATGCATGGCAGAGGTCTCCGAAATCAGACAAAGGGAACTGGGCCTTCTAACAAAAGCCCATACTCGTAACAAAGACCAAGCTGCTGGGCATTACAGACATTTTTTCACTCTCAATAGTGGAGATAATCCAGCATTGTTTTGAAACAGTATACCACAGTTTGGGGGATTTAGCGCGAGCAGATTACCACCAGGGCCAAAAGCGCTCCACCTCCGCAGCGATAAGCCACACAGTACCGCTGCACGCTAATCTGGCCCCTATTGAAAAGAGGTCAGCAGCGTACTGTGCTAGTTTCATAAACAAAAGAAAATTACGTAACACCGCAAAATCTGGGTTCATTTTACAAGGCGGCAGGCCTGGCTGAAATACTCGGGTGTCAATAGATGTTGTCTGTCGGAATGGAGTAGAAACCAGCCAGTCCTTTGTGGAGGTGTAAGTGTCCAGTAAATGAAGGTATGAATTTTTTAAGAATTTTGAAAACAGAAAAAAATGATAATTATCCCGTCCCAGCATCAGCAACATTGATAACTACCACTGGCACAAAGTGGTTAATTGTCTCAGATGCATCCCTGTTCTGAGGTCACTCAAACTGAACACTCAAACTTTGTAGTGGTTTTTAAAAGACTAGCGTAGAGCTGTAACAAAACGTCATGTTAGCCAACAGCGAAATCAATAGAGGCCATTCTGCATGGCAGGTGAAACTTCATGCTTTATTTTATAGGGTCAAAGGTAAACTTTATTGTAGGCAACAATCTGGTGAAGCTACGAAAGAAAAAAGAGTTCCAGGAGTAGAGACTTTCAACATCTCAAAAGCTAGAATCTCCAGTGATCCTACCTGGAAGGATGACCGCGGACGTGGGCCAGTTGCTGCCACCGTGGAATCGGCTCAGCACCGGCCAGTGAGTCTGCTGCAGTTCCTCAGTGGAGTCCTCCCCAGCGGTCCTCTTAACTGTCACCGCAGCAGTTGCAGTCGTTGAGGAGGTGACAGCAGGAGTAGCCCCCTTGCTGGCTGGGGCTATGCCCCTGGCGGGGATGTAGAGCTGCAGGCCGTCCTCGGGCTGGGCCGTACCACACAAGGGGTCAAATTCCAGCAGCATCCACTGCACATGCTCCGGGAATGTAACCTGAAGGTCGTAACAATGGCATTTCAATCAGTCTGCAGGTGGCAATCCAAGTGCCCTCTGATAAACCCAAGGTTTGATTTATTGTGAAGCCGGAGGACAAACACTCGTACAAAGTGCAACAACTTAGACGTGTCTTCAATTGTCCAGCGGCCTGTACAAAAGTGGGACCAACGCATGCGAAGCCATGGTCTCTGATGTAATCAAAGGTAAAGCAATCACACAGATAATGTGCAGTGCTTTAGGCCAGTGACAAGAACAAAAACTTGCGAACGAGGACAGACACTGAGAAAATGCTAGGCCTGTATGATAAATGCAAGTTATTCTGCTGAGAATCTACTACTAGCAGGACCTCCAATCTTGCTAAACTACAAATGCACATTACAGCCTGAAATGCACAACTCAGTCCTGAATCCTATGGCAGCTCATAACTTCTGCTCCCTACTGCAGGAGTCAGAGTTTACAGGAATGGCCTTCAGTCCATCAGCTTCCAACAAGCATTCATTCTTGGAGTTTGTCAGACTGCACGTGGCTTACCAATTCTCAGGTAAAAGGCTAAGAGCTATACTGACACAATGGCAATTGTTCCATGGAAGTGAATACGGTAATTAGAACTCCAACTCTGGAAAAAAATCAAAGTGCACATGCTACAACACAGAGTGCAGCCATCAGCATCACACATCGTCGTGAACTGGAGTTCAAATGGACTCAAAATGTAATATCAAACACAACGCCCATTTCTTCAAGATCTCAAAAGCAAGAGGAAAGCTTTGACTGACCTTATAGTTGGCCACGGTGGCAGCCTTGTACGGATGATCACTCTCCACCACCGCATAGTGAGACGATGTCGTAACTCCCACCCCGGCCTCTCCGGGTTGGCTGGCTGCGCTGTCCATGGCGCCGTGGCTGGCCATGCCCGAGGTGGGGACAGTGGGCGGGGCATACTGGAGATTGATGGCTGCGACTGGGGGGAGGAGCTCCTGGATCAAGTCCAAGATCTGTACAGCACTCTGAAAAGGCAAAAATACAGGAAAAAGTCTGATAATTATTCATGTGCATTACTTCTTTAGTTTGAATCATCTTCCTTCATTATCAGACCTTTTTGAGACCTCGTGTAACTTCAAGCATTTTATCAATAATTTAAGATTACAGGTTAAATGTGTCAAATATCTAGGCTTTCCAGTAGCTGATGAAAGTGAAGAGATGCAATATTTGAGAAACCATTCAAGCCAAAATGTGCTTTGTAATGGTGGAAATCCTACCAAAACCTTTCAAGACCTCATTGAAGTTACTTCATGATCCTTTTTCCATTTCAAATGCTGATTTTCAAACCGTATTTGAACACTGAACATTTCAACTGTTTTCTCTGTTCAAGGCGAAAGCACTGATAGTCTTTCTCACACACATTGGACTCGGCTCAAATCTGACATTCCATTCAAATATGTACTTGTGAAGGGTTCTCAGAAAAGGTCTGAACTGCAACACAGTTCCTTATGAAAATGAATCAAGCTCTACGACTTTCATTTTCACAGATCCGGCAAGATGACAATGCAAAACAAACTACAACTGATACTTGCTTAGCAGAATATAACACCACCAGATTTTAAGATTTAAAGTTTCCAGACGCTGTTACGCACCTTGGGATCTGACACGGCCACCGGCCCAATATGGGCCAAGACAAGGGGTAACAAGCTGTTAAAGAGATGAGCTGAGCCAAGGATCTCTGACAAGTCTGCATCTACAGTGAGGAGAGGAAAAAAAGGTTACAGGATTAGTTGGAATTGTCTTCTAACTGGATTCAGTGAAGGAAGTTTCAACCACTCTTGTTGATAATAAGGATGTGGGATCAACATGAATACCAACATTTCTCTTCATATCATTACTAGTGTCTTCTTTAGAAACCATGCACTTTCACATGCCATGTCTGTCTCAATGCATGCAAACATGCACCTTTTCCAGTCTAAAAAAAATAAGAAAAAGGTTCATGATTTGGTGAAGCTCAGCAGTTGAAAGTCATGACCACCAGTAATAGAGATTCTTCCCAAAAGGTGTTAATAGGACAAAAGGAGGTCCACAATTGTAGATTTACACACATTTCTCTCGACTTTTCTTCCAAAATCTCCAAAAAAGTTTTCTCTATCGTCACTTTTAAAGATTTCTTTGATCTTGTAAGCCACACTGCATGGGCACTTTTCATAAATGCATGGTTTCATTACCTGAAATAAGTATTGACCAACTCCCTGCAACACAAAAAGTTAACAAGGGCCGGGTCCGTGATCTGACCTTGCAATTCCTGTGCTTGGTGTAGGAGTTCAGTCGCAGCCTTGATAATGATGCTAGTGATGGACAGAGCGCTCTTCCTCGCCTGCCGCTCTAGGACCATGGAGCGGGACTCCGTCTGAGTGTGCTCAGTGTCGGCTGCAGTACTGGCAAAGCACCAAAACATGCCATTTATTTCAAGTTTAGAACTGGTTCTTAGGAGTGCAGAATCTTTACGTCCAATTTTCTTACGCTACTTGTTTCATTCTATTGTCCCATTTTTACTTTGTAAAGGTGGGTTTTTCAATATTTGTGTAATCTCCTCCATGTCTGCTTTCCTTAGGACTAGAAATGGAAAGGAAATGGTAGTTAGTTTGGGCCTACAACTGGAAGCTCAAGAAAAAAAAGGAAATTCCCAACTGCACAAGATTTCGTACGTTTTGAATTCGTAAGTGAAAACCAGGAAATCAACAGATCACAGGAAGAGTTGCACACCCATAAATTGTACAAGTGTGTCATTATTAAAGACTTGGTGGAACGTTTCTCTGTACGTACTTGTAGTAGAGAAGCTGGGGGAGTTGGCCCCGTGTCTGGCTGGTGCCGTTACTGCTCAGGGGGCAGGAGCTGAAAGTGAACACCACTCCGTCGGGGCATTTGACATGGGTCGTGCCCCCGTCACCGTTGACCGTTCGGTTGCCGTGATTTCTAAGTCTCACTGCATACTTCACCCCCTCCTTCAGATTACAAAAGGAGAAAATGTAATGAATTTCTAGGAATGAACAAACGGCTCAAAGATTGACAAAACAGGGTTGGCTCTGGCAAGGTTGGGGGAAAACATATTGTTGAACGAGGTACGAGGAAGGCACAAAATAAAACAAATTACTTAAATATACAAACACAGCACTCCAATTATGGCATTTGAGGAGTTACCGCTCTTGTGGTATTCAATAAGGCACATTCAAATCAACCTTAGGTGTGCAATATATTGTGTGCTACTTTAAACTCACACAATTCACCAGCAGAAATCATTTCTGTATTTCTTCCTTACACACCAAAGTTTTCTCTGTGAGCAGCGGCCTCATTCTCAGACAGAGGGTGGGAATTTTGTTGTTACCCAGCTAAGGGAAGCTTTCAACCTCTGTTGAGGCAAATGCGAGAAATGAACCAAAATCCAAACTGTTGTTTTCCGTCAATCATTAAGACTTCTGTGATCCAGATTCTAGGAATGGGTACTAACCTTTATTGGCACGGGTCTGTCAAACTTGATCTCGGCCACATCATTGACCAGCTCGCTGGGGCCGTAAGAACCCTTGACCAACTCCAGTGAGTTCCAGCGATGGCTGTGGCCGTCGGCACCTGTCTCACTCTGTCACATCAGGAGAAACGTTACAATGGCATACTTGAATGTGACAAACCAGGCAGTTTCTGGAACATACAAAACTGAATTGTCACTCTTGTCAGGTTCCCTGTAAATCCAGCACAAGAAATGCTGAAAAGATATTGATATCCTGATCGCGTCTACATGTACATTAACCTGCTGAAAACTGAAAAGCTCCTCGTTAGTACACGTTTTTCAAGAAATTTCCGACACAAATTCACAGCAAGTCCTTTGATCCCCCACTTGATAAACAACTCACTCACTCTCTACCATTTAGCTACAAACAGTCATCGTACAGTTCTAACACAGGCGCTTAACCATCCAACTCACCCCATCCAGGAGTTCCAACTCATAGTTATAGTGTCCCCCTCCTCCGTAGACGCAGAACCCAGCAATCAGGACACCTGGCTTGTCCACGCTAAAGCACACGGCGTCCGGAGTGCCGTTGCCCGTGCTCCAACCACGCCCCTGGCTGACCCGGGTGTAACGGGAAGGGGTGTTGAAGAGGGGACGCCCCGTAGCTTGGCTCTCACCCTGGAGACAGAGATAACAGAGCACCGGTCAGGTATCATTTTGACACAGCTCAGGGGTTAATTTCTGCCCCGCAAGTGCTCAGGCCATAGTATCTATCTCAGGTCCTATTTTATCGCTTCGCTTGCTGGTCTGCATTTTCAACAAGTGTTTCCTTTCCACCTGTTCTCATTCCCCACCTCAAGCCTCTGTCCCTTGGATAATAGAGAATATCTGCTTGAGTTGTACATGCCGAACAGTGACCAAGTGTGGTTCTACCCTTGAGAAGTGAAAGCACCACGGACTGGATCCCGCAAAGTGAGTCTTATTGCCATATCTTTCAGTAATTCTTGGTGGAATTTTTCAGTCACACCCTGATGAAAATGAACATTATGCGGATGAAAAATGCTGACCAGTTCCTACATATTTGACACTTTCAAAAGCTTTCACTGCAAATTTTGCTCTGGCGACTTGCTACTCATTTTGTATGGATGAGTCACAAATGCAATTACGCTTCAGCAAGATGAACAATAACATGGTTCACATCCTTCATCAGCCGTTTAATAATCATACTTAATTTCTGTCAACACAACTTCAATTCTCTGGTAGAGATACAAAATAAATGTGACATCATCCAATTCTACGAGTCTACACTTACATCTGATGAGATGGCAGCTGCTGACAGCTCTGCAATGACACAGGCAAGAAGACGGCTGGTATTGGAGACTAGCAACGGGTAACAGGTGGACTGTTTCTGTTGGAAATAATAACCAAATATATTTGCATTTCGTGCTGACACTGAAACCAAAACAACACAAAATTTTCAATGAATTTCTCAGAATGTTTTGCTCAAGTTTTAACAATGAAATTCAACAAATCAAGCAATGTTAAACAAAGAGATAAATGGGAGGCAGTCCACAAATTTACGTTCCAAAATTTAGGGAATACAATGCTAACAATGAGAAAGATGTACCGGTGGCACGATTAAATCTGTTAAAGAAATGGCGAGCATGCAGTATTGGGTTTCAGCAGTTCATTTTGGCAGCTGTAACACCTAGTGACACATCTTAAACAGACTGGGTGCACATGATGAAACAATCCACGGCGAGACTTACAATTCAAATTAATTATCGGTTCACATTTATTAAAGTGACCACCTGAAATCTAACAGAAGTCAAAACTTTAGTCATGGTATGAATGCGAACACACACTACTCACATTTTTGTTTTGTGTACATTTTTTTATGTGAGATATTTTACAGCTGAAAATGTGCATTTGAGTTTGGAGATATGTTTTAAATTTTTATTCCAGTGAGAACACCATCTAGACAAACAAAAAATAAATGAACTGGACCCCACTCATTGCTTGGAAAAGAAAATTACAAGTCAAGAAGAAAGTGGTCCTCCATTTTTTGTGAGTAGTGTACCTACACAGTTCTAGTGACTGAAAAAAAGTCCTAGTTATTCAACTGAATGAATAGTTAAGCTTCCCATAAAAGAATACCTTCCTTTTCCTTTTTTTTCTGTTAAGAATCTTTTTATTTTTCATGGGCTGAAGACTAAGTAGTGATTAGTCCTCACCTTGCTCAGTGCTTGCTGCACCGGGCTGATGAGAATGTTCAGAAGTCTATCCAAGATTTCATGGAAGTTGGGGCTGACCTTCCCTCCTTCCATCTGCAAAAAAGATGTTAGACACAAAAGTTGCAGAAAACCAAAACAAAATCTTTCATGTCACTTGACAGGTTATCAAGTACACGTACACAGAGTTAATGAGTACGTGTCCTGGGACCGAAAACAAATGACTGCCCAACAAACAAAACCACTTTCTCAGAAAATTCCCAACAATTCTCATGCTGCAAAATCCCTCCACAAAGCTCAAAGGTTACATATTCCACAAAGTAAATACATTATTGAAATCTCAAAAAACACAATAACAAATACACAACATAAGCAAAGCAAACAAGCAAGGAATTGGAATAAGTTACTCGTTGGGTCAACAAATCTGAAAAAAAATTTAAAACGGACCTTTATCGTTCTTTACAGGGAATCTACTAACAATGCACCCTTTACTGTAATTATGCAAATATAAAAAAACATCATTGACAGCTTTTTATCGTATTCAGTTACATGACACAAACTGATACGTAACGCCCTCAGCACAACAGTAAGACAGTGTAGATTTAAGCATTAGTGTAACTACGACGACAATCAACAGGAGAAACAAGTTGATAACAGTGTACAGGTTACGCCAATGTGGAACACAGGTACTGCACTACGGATAGCCCACCAGAATTCAGAATTTTTTCTAGGTTGAGCAGACTCCGCTATTAAGCACAGAATGGCTTTACAATAACTACCAGAACAAAACCAAATGTTAATAGGTTGCATGCAAACCTGTATGCGTTCTTCCATGAGAGCCACAAGCTCCATAGAGTTTGAACTCACTTCGGCGGCAGCTGCCGTCGCTGCTGCTGCTGCTGTCGCAGCGGTGGCGGTGGCAGCCAGGGTCGGGGAGGCGTCCTCCATGGAGCACTGCTTGGTCAGCGGGGGGCCGGCCTCGCCGTCCCGCTCCTTGTCCCTCAGGATGGGCAGGACGCTGGACAGGCGCACCGAAGGGTGACACAGGGCCTCCAGCACTGCCGCTAGCAGGTTACCGTTGGATTCTGTCTGCTCCGCTTGCTGAGAGAGCACGGAATCGTTTAAATAAGGGGGGTGAAGATGGGGTGGGTGATGAGAAATCAATAATACTTCCAGCTGAAGCTTTTAAGAACTAACAATGCATGAGTTCTCTCACAAGTAACTATGGCAATATAAATCTTATACTACTGTGTTTAAAAAGAGAAAAAAGTGAAAGATTAAACTTCAAAAAAAACACACACAACTTGAAGTAACAATCACCATGGGCACTAAGAAAAACAGAAAAGATTGTGTTGACAGGCGTTCTGCAAAATGCACACTTCGTCGGACTAAAGTCCAACAACAAGCATTCAGAAGACACAATCTTGACAAGATCCATCTGCTATCAAAACTCATTAACAAAGAAAAACTGTACAGTCACATCAAAACAACTGTTATAAAGGTTTTAGACTTTAACAATTGATTTGTTAGTGATGACAATAAACATGTAATTATGAATGGATTTAAGGAGGACCTATGACTCTTCATCAGAAGGCAATGGGCAACTGAATCAAACCAATAATATCTGTCTGAATTTGCATATCCTTTTCTTCAAACTGCCTGATATTGGTTCATGCATGTAATATTTGAACCGGAAGTTGTGACGAAGTACAACTTGGTCCTCCTAACATCTGTCCACAGCCCAGTAAAGGCCCATGTTGAATATGCTTTGCCGTTTATGCCCCTTTTTTTGTGGAACAAACCACTGGCTTTCTTGAGATATACTGATGAATTACTCTGAAGTATCTCAACCTTCAACACTCACAGTGCTCATGGAGCCTAGCAGCTCGCACAAGACCAGCCACTTGAGCTGGGCCGATGGGTAGAAAGCATGGAAGCAGGCAACCAATGTCCTGTGGCACTCGGCCAGGATGTTGTCCCACAGCGCCCGCAGGCGCTGCGTCTCAGCCATGGCCATCGTTGCTGCTGCCGCCGCCGCCGCTGCCGTGGTGCGGTTCATTAGGTGTTGGACGGCGGGCTGGGTGGAATCAGACAGGATGACCCGCAGCAGGTCGCAGCAGGCAGCAATGGACTCAGCCAGCTGGCCGTTCTCTGTCGGGTGCTTTTTCGTGACGGCAGCTGAGGGTACAAAGAGGCAAAACAAATGTCAGCCAATCTGACAAAACAAAACGCGAGTCACCAGATCAACTGTTGACTTAAAGACCTTTATAAAAGAGCCTTGAACAGTGCATATCTACGCAAACCCTCGACATTTTTCACTCGTCTAAAGTCCACTCTCATGCAGATGCTGCACTGAGTGAACTAGAACAACATTATTGAAAAATAGGTCTTCAGACTCACTCTGTGAGGTACACTCACAAGTTACTAATACACAGTTCCCACTTTTGTGTCAATAGAAAAATCAGCTAAATCAGTTTAGATTCACAAGCTGATGCAAAAGGACTGCCACTTTAAATCTGGCGCTGCTTACCGCAGAATTCCATGCTTACGATCTCCATTCTGCACTAACCACACCAGCACAAAAATTCTGTGCTAACCCCTTAAGCAGAGAATCCTTAGTTACGAGATGTACGCATGCCCAAATTCCTCGCTCAAGAAATACGTTCGCCATAAGCACAGAATTTTCTGCTATGTTAAGCGCCGATTTTTTGCTTGCGTTAAGCAGCGCCGTGAAATTGGGCTTAGTCCCAAGCTTAGCATAATCTTAAAGATAACAAAAAACACAGTATGAAATGTTGATAACCAGCTTGTCAACTTTTCATAAAACCCTTTATGAGTTATTTGTAATGGAATGTACACATACCATAGTGAAACAGATGACTCCATTTCAGATCCAACAATTCTTTGATTCTACGGATCTACTGTCCTCCTGAATTTGACTAAAGGCAATCCAGTTTGGTGTTTACTTTATGCCCATCTCCTTGCAATCATTAGCTCCATCAGACATTTCCCGGATTTCAAACAATATTTGGGTGCTTTGGGTGTGTTCTAGGGTTTTGTAGACACAATGTATCACAGAGCATTTCGTTCAACTGTGCACAACATGAACTGTACAGAATTTCATCCATGCAAGAAAAAAAAATCTGAGGGGAAAACGGCTACAGCAGTCTTACAAGGGCTCGGATAAATCTCGCAGACGTAGCTGCGCAGCAGTCGCAGGCAAGCAGTGGCTATGTACATGAGTCTCTCCAGGTCAAGGGCGAAGTCCAGCAGCCTCTTGCCTCCTTGCTTGAGAGCCAGCAAGATGCCCTCTGCCAGCTTGTTCCAGCTCCAATCCAGCAGGCGAAGGAGGGACTTGAACACCTCCTACGGGTGGGGGAACAAATGAAACCAGATATCACCAGATATTCAGTTACAAATGTAGACATACGATAACAAAAATGAATTTCGGTATTAAAGCCAAAGCAAAAAGATTCAAAAGCAACAAGGCTGGCTGCATTCTTGATATGGTAGTCAGTTCTACAGGTTAGGTACACTAAACTCAAAGGCTTAGTCCACAAAAGTAGTTTACTACCACCTACTAGGTAATTAAAAACAACACCTATCTCAAAACTACACAGGCAATAACTACGCCAAGACTCAACAGAGACGAGCTCACTTAAATATTGCGGGACAAAGCCAATACTTGAATATTGTAGGGCTAAAAATGAGGTCAAAGCATTTTACATTTTGTCACCAAGTTTCAAAATAATACTCGTTCGTGCTGATGAAATATTGCCACGAGAGCACAATAATGGTTTACCGAGTTGACTGTGTTGCTGAACCTGGGTGTGAGGATGTGCACAGGTTCCGTCTGGGACGACAACCCACCTGACGAACTCACATCAGGCTGGGGTAACCTGCAGGGAAAAATCAACGCACACAGTCAAGTAGAGTGAAAATCCATCCAAGTACATGTAAAACAATGTATTGTTGGACCGCAGCAAACTGCATCAACCATGTGTTGAGTACAAGCACAATGCACTGCCAACCTACCTGTACAACAACTGTGGGATCTGTCCAGCATTGATGTCTGTTCCATTGTTAGACTTCTTGGAACTCATGAATTGGAACGTCACTCTGCAGGTGCAAAGAGCAAAGGGAAAATCAATATACCATATTCAAAATCAAGACAAGATTTAAGATTCAAATCCTCGACTGACACTTTTGCACGCTTTGTTAGCCTTTTTTTTTCAACTCTATTTTAGCTCTTGATTCTTTTTTTGGAACTCTTTACGTTACCTTCACGACTTGTTCTACTTTTGGCAAGCTAGCTTTAATTGACATTTTCCACTGTGCTTTGAACTATTTTTACACAAATCACAATAAAAATGAGGACCACAGTTACAAAAACCGATGAAAACTTAACTTAAAAGGTTGTCTTCACGCACACCTTGTTAAACTTATCGAGTTTAAACTTGGAACCATGGGTGAAACGATGGTTGGCAAAGTGAGCAATATGAGAAAGTACAACTGGGAAGCAAAACTTTATGCTTTGACGAACATTATTTTAGTTCAGAAATGTTGGA